GAGAGAGTGTGTTTGTGTGTGTGTGTGTGTGTGTGTGTGTGTGTGTGTGTGTGTGTGTTTAATGGCTTGTGTCTCCAGTATTTATGACACATTTGCACGTTAATATGTATGGTGAAGTGTGAATGAGCAACATCCCACACACACACGCTCTCAATAAGCACAAACACATACGGCAATGTTTCACATGCTCCACCCATCAGGAAGCGACCCGCTGACCTTTTGACCTGCTGACTACAGAGCTCATCACAAACACATGCTAGATAACAGCTGTCTGAACATTCGTCTGTCCTGCAGAGCTGAAGCAGGCCGATTCACCAACCAATGAGAGCTCTCCGTACTGTCACATACAGCAGAGACACACCACTCACTCACTCACTCACTCACTCACACACACACACACTCACTCACTCACACGCACACACTCACTCACTCACTCACACACTCACTCATTCACTCACACGCAAGCACGCACGCGCACACACACACACTCACACACTCACACACACACACACACACACACTCTCTCACACACACACACACACACACTCTCTCACACACACACACACACTCACACTCTCACACACACACTCTCACACACACACACACACACACACACTCTCACACACAAACCTGCAGCTCATTCAGCCTGATGAAGATGTAGAAACGCTTCCCATGGAAGAGTCACATGACATCACTGCTGTCAGCCAATCAGGAAGTTTTCCACAGTGACTCACGTATCCTGTGCCAAAACAGGAGAGAGGAAACAGGATGTGATGTCACAGCTGGAGGGGTTTTCCAGCATGAACACTGTGAGAGAAAACCTACAGTAGAACCGTCCTGCGGCTGTATTTCTGCACACACAGCCCTTCATCATCATCATCTTCATCAGTTAACGTCTCTGCTGTACAAACTCACACTCGTCAAGGGCCAAATAACATACACTACCATTCAAAAGTTTGGATTTATTCATCAAGGATGCATTAAATTGATTAAAAGTGACAGTAAAGACATTGATAATGTTACAAAAGATTTCTATTTCAAATAAATGCTGTTCTTTTGAACTTTCTGAAATCCTGAAAAATAAAATGTGTCACAGTTTCCACAGAAATATTAGTGTTTTCAACATTGATAATAACCAGAAATGTTTCTTGAGCAGCAAATCAGCATATTAGAATGATTTCTGAAGATCATGTGACACTGAAGACTGGAGTAATGATGCTGAAAATACAGCTGCGCATCACAGAAATAAATTACAGTTTAGAATTAAATTACATAGAAAATGGCTATTTTGCTATTTACAGTATTTTTGGTCAAATAAACGCAGCCTTGATGAACAGAAGAGACTTCTTTCAGAATAAAAAAAATTCACCGACCTCGAACGTTTAAACGGTGTAACTTCATTAGAACACAATGAAAGCAAACTCTCATTCACAGTGATTCGCAGCGCTGAAACTGTCTGTGATGTGGGTCATGTGACCAGATGTAAATAATATTTACACCAGCAATAGATGTGAAAGCATCATCAGGTGTGGATTCAAATCAGAGACGGTCCGTTACAGCAGGTGTGTTTGTACCTGAACAACAGCAGCTCGTCTCCACGCACACACATGGCTGTGGTCTGCACGGCGACCGGTCGTCAGGGTAAAGAGAGGCTCAGTGTTGTTGATGAATGGAGCAGTGTTTGAGTTACACTCAGACTCACAGACAGTCCATTCATCTCCGAACAGAGCTCCACATTCACTATGAGCCCAAACACAACAGAGTCATTTACTGACTGGACACACTTCAGCGTCCAGACATCAGTGTGTGAGAGAGGATGAGTGTGATGATAACACATGATGAAGATCTGAGCACACCATTCACCAGCATCACAATGACATCACAATGTGACTCGACACGTTTTCAGGATCTGTCATATTTCACTCCCAAAGTCAGACAAAATATATTAATTATTTTGTAGCATTAGATTTAACTTAAAGTTGCATTTTTTTCAGTTATGAATTTTTAAAGTTATGATTTAAGTTTAATTTTATAATATTTCTGTTTTAGTTTTTATTTCTAGTAACTTAAACCTATTTCAGTTGCCAAAGTAAAATGTCTAATTTTTTATTTTATTTAAGCTTTATTTTAATTAACATAAATGTATTATAATAGTTATAGTTATTAGTTAACAATAATAACCCTGCTTCTCGCTCAATCACATTTGCTGCTTATGCGAGTATTAAGTGCTGAAAACTGATAAAAAATAGTGATTGCAATTTAAAATGTGCTTGTTTGCAGACCTAAACAATTTGGCCAAACTCAGTAAAATAAAATAAATAATAATAAGATTAGTATTTAAGAAAAATAATATAATAATTTTATTTTATACTATATCTGTAAAATTACAATCCTGCTGTTGAAAGTAGATCAGACCGAGCACCAAAACACACTTCTAGCCAATCAGCAGTGAGGGGCGTGTCCACTCAGGACAGGGGAGGTGCTTGTGTTGCATAGCATGTTTGTGAATTTGGGGGCGGAGCTATCAAGATAGGGGTGTGATTCTTTTGGGTAGGAGCGTGCGATTTCAAATATCAACAGTGTTTCTCTGAAATTGCTTACTGCAACTTTAAATTTCACAGAAAACCGCAGGAGCTCTTAAAGCTTCTCTTTAGTTGATAAACACTTCTCATTACAAGTTTGTGGAGATGGTTGGTTTATATTTTGCTTCCAAATGCACATTAAAGCGAGTCAAACTCACAGCTGATGCAGCTGGAGCTCATGTGGATCATTTACTGTGAACCGACACACTGAAAACACAGAATCATGAGCTGCTGACGTGCAAATCAACACAGCTTCACTCTTAAACACACAGTATATTGTTTAAATAAATCATAGCCATTTAATAATCTTAATTTCAATTAAATCATAAATCGTGAATAAATCACAATTCTGGTTTTATGTCCATTAATCGTGCAGCAGTAGGTGTGTGTTCTGATGTCCATCTCAGTTTGAACTAATCCTGGACAGACATCAGTCAGTGTGTGACGCGTGTGTATTGTTGTTATTGTCATGTGATGCACATGTCGTTATTATCATGTGACGTGTGTGTGTGTGTGTGTGTGCAGCTGCTGGAGAAGCAGCGCGGCGTGGAGCGGATGGTGGAGCTGCTGCAGCTGTATGCAGAGCAGGACGAGGCGTATGGAGATCTGGTGGAGGCCACAACTGAGCTCTACCACTATCTGCTGCAGCCCTTCAGAGACATGCGCGAGTTAGCCATGCTGCGCAGACAGCAGATCAAGGTACACACACATCACCTGCTCACGACAGACACACACACACACACATAGCAACCGCCGCTTCCCATGAGCCCCTGCTCTAATCACATTAAAAGTGGAGGGTGCAGAGAGAGACTGAATCACGTC